AGCGCAAGAGTATGTGTTATTCGTTTCCACAATAGCGTCATTGTTGGAGCATTGTGCTTCCACCCCATTCCGTAGATTCGTCGCGAACACTTTACCTCCTACTCCTGGACCGTTCACAAATACATACGCACTAGCTTGCTTTACACGCACGAGATCCCCTTTTCTCCCATTTCTTCGTCTTCTTCTTCTCTTTTCTCCTCTTCTCTTTCTTTCACAGTTTCCTCACCTATTATTCTCTCCTTCTCTCTCCAGCTTCTAGTCTAGTAGGTATCTCGCGGCTTCGCTGCTTTGCCCATTACCGCGCAGAAAAGAGGCGTTTCTTATATCACAGATATCGACTACTCGCTACGATCGGTACAATAATTTTTTACTTGCTCGTGGCAAGTTCATCCTTCCGCGCCGAATTTTTCTTTCCTTTTTTTGAAGAGTTGTAATCATTTCTTTTATCAATATACTCGTGGATTTTGTAAATAATTTGTCGATTTGTTTGTTTAAAAAAAAATTATCATAAATTAAAAAAATAAAAATATTTTAATCTCTCTCTATTTTTATGAAATTTGAAGAAGCAGTAATGCTCTAGAACAGTCGACATATTATCCGATTGCGGCAAAAGTTACGAATATAAACGCGTCCAAGCGACCATAAACCCTGCGAATTACTACGTGGCTGTTCAGGAACGATGCCTGATTAACGACGGCGCGCGGCGCGACATTGTCCCAGGGTTGCTCGGAAAGGGGACAACGGACAGTAATGCGCTCATCTCTCAGGCACAATAGAACAATGCGTGCCATAAGTAAAACGCGTCCACTTTCACGAAATACACGCGGACGCGCGTGTAGGTGTACATTGTGCTATCGACTGCAGCCTGAAGCTTTAGAACATGTGCGTACTTGCGACAAATTCTTAGACATTGTTATCTCGCAAGGATTTTTGCAATGATTCTTTTCAGATTCTGACAAACTTCAATAATATTGTATAATAATGCAAAAAATAAAAGACATAGATATTTTTACATGTACCTTATAATAATTTTTAAATAGAAATCTTAATTTTTACAACTTTTTTCCAATTTAAATTATATATATATCATATCATTTTAATACAAAAATGTTACATTTAAATCTTCTAGAGTTTTCGCAAGTCGGCACTTAGCAATGAGATAACTATGATTTGTCGACGAACAAAAAGAATTCAACGTGCGAGCTATCGTCAAGCAATGCGCGAGAACAATGCGGGAAAGAAAGAGACGCTATCGCGTAACAATGTGGACAATAGATAGATGGATACGAAGAGAAACAAAGAAGGAGAACAAGAAAGGTGCAAACGCAAGACAGAACAAGACAGAAGATTCGGGAAATCGAGAAATCTTCCTGATATGATTAAAATTATTTTTCTCATACCATCGTATATGATATTTTCTTAACTAAATAGATCGTTTCGCATCGAAAAATGCGAAAGGTGGCGATATCGACACCTTATGTTGGAAGCAAATCGAGTCGAGAGATCCGACGACCTCGAACCTCTGGGCGCTTTTAATCATCGCGCATCTGGATAACAAAAAGGGAGACGCGGTTAAGGTGCATCCACGACGATGGGCAAAGCGGTGCTACCACGTGAACGAGTCCGTCTACGATGAGCTTTATGATTGAAAGAGAGAGCGGTGGGGCGGGTTAACAATGTGTGGAAGCGAGAAGGAGAATGTCAAGTGGACATTGTTGACGGTGACAATGCCGCTGAAATTGCCGGAGGACAAAGAGGTCTTATGATGATGCTGCTGGCGAGCGAGCGAGCGAGCGAACGAGCGAATAGAGCGAGTTGCTCGTGGACAGGGACACCACTGTATTCTCCGCTTCACCCTTTGCCACCAATCCGCCCCTCATCTCCATCGCTCCTTCGCCACTTCCTCTCTTCCGCGACCTCCGCATTATCCGTCATTCTCGAACTCCGGTATTCCGATATCGCGTACGGCGTCGTGACGTTGCCCTTGCCGCGGCATCTTCGCTCGCGAATTAGTCACTATCGTTCATTAACCCTTTAAATGGAAACGTTCCCTCAATAGGATGTATAAATGCATATAATTTTCTCAATATTTTTAATTCATTAAAACAGACATTGCATTGTATCTTGCCGGTCACTGGCTTTAAACTTTTTAGATTGTTATGTTAAAAAAAAATTGGAGATATGAGAGGGGTGTAGCATTGTTACAAAAATAAAAAATTTTGTAATATTTTTATCGAATCTAATATATAGCCACTCGCCATAATGAAACAGTTTATCATACTCGGTCTGAAGACTTCTTTTAATGTCGTTTCTCCCTCAGGAAGGATCTGACCCTTTCAACGAAGGGTAATTCGTGACCTTTGGCGAGCGGAAGAAATTTATCGCGTTCATCATTCGGATCTTTTTAATTTTTCGGATCTTATAAATAGTACAAAATTTAATTAACATTGCAGTTTCGACGGATTTCAACGAATGTGGATGAATCAATGATTGAAAATTGCCGGAAGGATTATTAATCGCTACAAGTGATCGCATTTTATTTACACGACATATGCGCACATACTTGCACCTAAATTCTCAGATCACATCGTTGCGGACCGATAGGATGCAACTATTCTGCGCTGCCCTGCCGGTCTTCTATCCTTTTTTTTCGCGCGACATTCGTAATTAACGCTAGAGGAATCCAATCGCTAAAACGGTAATCATTCTTCCTCTTCAAGCAGACGAATATTTAAAGTACGTGAAATTTCGAAAGGCCGATTTTATGTTCGTGCATGTCTACGTGTTGCATTATTGCGAACGCGAACGAGCGCGCGAGCGGCGTACTCACACACATATTCGAGAGTTTTATATATAGTATATGGATATGTATATATATATATATATCGCCAACGTTCCTTGCTTTCATTCGTTCGCGGAAAGAAGTAAAGAGCTTTGTCGCCGCGGCATCAAAAGCTTGAATAACGCGACGATGAAAGAAGGAAGTATCGGTACAAGAAACTGCACAGTGAATACTGAAAAGAATGTTGTCGCGAGAAGGATGGTGGCGGACGAGGGGGATGAAAGAGTTAAGAAAGAGAGGGAGCGAGCGGCATTGCAAAAAAGGAGGGACAGATAGAAAGAAAAGCAGAAAGAGAGCGAGAAGGGCGACGGAGAGAGATGGAAGAAAAAGAGATACGCTCTCTGTGAGAAGAAAACCTTTTGAGGGAAAGTGATGAGCATTTCTGTGGGAGATCTAATACAAGTGTCGAGATAGACATCGGAAAAAATTAAAATGTCTTATAAATTAGCAATATATTCTTATAAGCTACTATCGAGAAAAACTATTATTTATTATAATGTTAAGCATAGAAAACTATTAGAAGTAGATTAATTTTTACTATTTATGAAAAGTAATATTATTTATACATTCATATTTAAATAATATATGAATATAACTACATAATTTTTAAAAAATTCTATCTAAATTAAAAATTAAAGAAAAAACATCGGTATATATCATAGACATAGAGCTATAAAAAACTAAAATAAATGGATTGAAGGTGTTAGATTATTTGGATTTTTGAAGTGTTAAATGTAAAAAATCGGAAAATATATTAATTCTCTTAAATTTGTTTCCATTAACTAATTTTAATGCTAAAGTGGCTAAAAATTGAACAAATGTGAAACAAAATTTGTTACAAACGAATGGGGAAAATAGGTGAGTAGGCCAGAGTGAAAATTTCTCTGAGTGTTATTGAAAAGCTTTGGAAGTACAATGCTCTGCTCGACAAATGAAACGAGCGGCGATTTCCTTAATGTTTTCTGCGACGCGAATTTCCTCACGAGTACAACCAGACGCGGAAACCATACAATTGTTTTCTCACGAAAAGTGCGATGTCTTACAAAATGACATATTTGTTGTGAAAAAGCGATCAGTTAGTCTGTTCTTCTATTTCTCAACATAAACAAATAAAAGCCTACGCAATAGCATCTTTAATATTTTTAAATACTGTATTTATATCAGAAGAAACGAAATATTATTAAAAAATATATTTATTTTGTTATTATTAATTATTAAAATTATTAAAAATTATAAGCAAAATTGTACTCTTGTACACGAAAAAATCCTAAAAAATCTTGAAAAAAAATTCTCTGTGAATTGGTTACCTCTGATTTTAATTTTATGCAAATTTTCAGACAAAATAAAAATATTTTGTCTAAAAATACATTTATTTTATATTTCATAAACATATGCATATAAAATATATGTAAAATACATGTCAGTTCTCGCGCACAATACAAATACGATGCTGTGCATCGTACCAGTAAGTCAATCTAATTTTTATTTTATTAATATCATTAAGAAAATAGATTTGAAAATAATGTAAAATATACAAGATGTCTCAGACTAACCGTATCACCCATTAATAGCAGATTTTTGAAGTTTTTCATATGATAAGAATATAAAAATTAATATACGATGTGCTTGAGCGCATAAATTTTTGACAATCTATTGGTCAACTTTAAATACTTTCCATTTAAAAACTATTGTAGCCTTGACATTTTGATACAAAAATTTTCATCTCTCTTTAAATGACAGGAATCTGCTATTATACATATAATTTTGATAAAAATAAAAAAGTGTAACTTGTAGAAAGTCGCATTTTGTTCATATAAAGCTCCACCACCATTGCCGAAAAAGTTCGTATCTTTTGCAATAAATTACTTACCGCAATGTTGCTCTGGTGTCATTCGATGCTCCTTCCACTTGCTCCTTCTCTTAGTGGTGCTACTCCTTCATGGCACTCACACGCGTTCGCGAAAACGTTCGCATTGCTCGCGAGCGTACCTAAATATAAAAATCGCGTAACTCACTTTAAACGGCACTCCCGACGTCGTAACCAAATCGAACCGAATTGTCTAAAATACGACGTTACGCGCGAATCTCGTCCGCGTTTCAAACGACCGCGTTTAATTAATTCGCTAAAATTCGGCATTTCGAATTCGCGCAAAACTATCACGACACTCCCGACATTAATACTTCCGAACAAATCTAACGATATGACGAACGCTTTTTTGGACACGTAGCACAAAAGCTTATCTGTAAAACACAAATACATTATATTACAACAATATTACAAAAATACAACTTATATAAAATTCTTATATATATTAAATTTATCAAATTGTTGCAACATATTTACAGAATTATAAATAATAACAACAAATGCCGAATAAATGATAAGAAACGAAATTCGAAGAAAGAACTTGCGTATTGACAAGTGCATCTACGTATGCATCAGATGCGTGTACATTTCATGTCTGATTGCTAGCAGTATTTGTCGTCTAGCGTTCACGAAAAGAGAAGCATTTCAGTTTACATCCCGTGCGAGAACGTTGAGCGAAACAATGTGGCTTTTGTGGGACAAAGAAACGGCAGAGTCCGTCCAAAGAGAAAAGCTAAGAGCGATTGGAATACGCTCGTGTTGTGTCCGTTCTTCTCCTTTCGCTTTATTCATGCCTCTTTTGGATCTCGCCACCATTGCATCCGCACTTTTTACACTATATATTTTTATATCATGTATTACAATATATGTGGTGCATTTGTGTGTGCGTGTACATAAATTTATATAAAAATAAATGTGCTACTATAAAGATTCCAATTGAGAAAAAAAATGCAATTCTTGAAAAACGAAACTTTAAAAATTTCAGCTCTTTTCTCTCAGGCAAAAGATTCGAACATTTTATATGCCCATATGTTTTATATGTTTGCATTTACTTGAATTCCCTTATATGTCACAGACCTGTGTGCCTCCTTATATTGTTTTTTTTTCTTTCCATAAAAGAGTAAAGATTGTAGTCCACTTGTAAAAGTCAGTTTTTAAAAAAATTGTCTGATTTTTTAGAATGGTAAGACATTTGCCAAACGTGCGTGTGTTATTACTCTGCAATTATTTATCGCTGTCCTGACTTTGTCTCAAGCGACTTTGTCTCAGCGAGAGACACATAGATCTATGATATGTAAGGAAATTCAAGTAAATACAATATTAATTGTAAAAATACGAAGATTAGGAATTAAGTTTAAAATATATAAGTATGTTAGCGGCAATTAAACATTGAAGATAGTCGAAAATTGAGACCGAAATGTTTGTTAATGTAATGCTAAAATAAAATAAAATAAAATTATAGCAAATACATCTAGCTACGGTCTTAGAAATCTTTTCTAATAATTTAATTTATTGTATTTAAATTAATCTCTCTGTGTTTGGTTAATCACTGTGTGTTTGGTTCATATATATATGTCTATACATTATTACACATTTTGATAAATTTTATGACCTATATTTTTTGACCTATAACAATTTCCGAATCTTTGAATATGAAGTTAGCTTGAATAGTTCGAACTGTTTGAACATCCTTTCAATTCAAAAGGTCCGAACTATTTGACATTCAATCTCAAGATTCGACCTGTCTGAATTCCTCGACCATCTGAAATTTCCGAGCGTTACTTAAAAATTCTGCCAAGTTCGTAAATTTATCGACGTGAACTTGAAGATCGTCACTCTCACGGCGCAAGGCCGAGTAAACTGCAACGAAAGAGCATTGAAGGGGAAGGTAAAGGCAAAAGAATGAGAAAGTAACGATGGGGACCGGGGGTGGCAGGGTGATGCGGTCGGCAATCGCGGGGTGGTATGTGTCGAACGAATGAGTATTGGTAGACGCAGATGGGGAGGAATCGAGGGGGGGCACATAGAGGTATGAGTGGTTGCAGGTTGGTAGTCAAGACTGCCTTCAGATTTCCAGAGTGAAGCATTGTGTTCCGAAGGCGCATTGTCCTCCCGTCGGCGGGAACTCGACAATGCCGAGTCCGTAAGTTAGTAACCCTACCGTAAAAACTTATCTCCGCCCCCGAACCACCGACCTCCGGTCTCCGTGATTCCGTTCGATTTCCAACCTCCAGCACCTTGCCCCCGTCCTTCCTCCCCCGCCGTTGGCGCATTCTCGACCCTGGACCGCGGCGTTCCAGAAGACGCGTATTCCTCTCTCTCTTTCTCTTTCTCTTCAGGTTACGGCAGAACAATTCCGCCGCGAATCTGACGTCTTCCTTCTTACGGAATCAAACCAACCGTCGCGTAGCGAATTCGCTCTCCGCGGCTAAGAACGAGCATCTCCTTCCCATTTTCTCTGCCACGAGTACCTTTAAATTGTGCTTTGATATTGTAATTTTCGATTCCAATTGCGCTACGCCGTATAGCATCTATCATAACTGTTTTAAAAAAATAGCTTTTTTTATGAGTATAATTTAAAAGAAGTAGAACAAATTTTTCTAACATTATTTTGTTTATAATTATTATTCTAATGTCTTTGCAACCAATGACACGTATTACAATGTCTTTTCATAAGCTAAGAGTGATATAAGCGATTAAGAGCAATCGTCTCTCGTACAACGAACAAAGTATTAATTGTATCGACGATTCGAGAGTATCAGAGAGGTGGCAACGGGAAGCAAACACAATAGAGCACGACGACGCGCGATTCCGAGAGTCGGAAGTGAACGTTCCGGGGAGCGGATACAAACATTAGGGGTTGGCGGGTGGTCCTCTCCTCTCTCGTTGGAACTCGAGTTGTCGGCCAACCGGCCGGCCGGCACGGCCGGACAACGCGCGGTTGCCGGACAAAGCTCCTCTAATTGTCCCCATCAGCGACGAAGAATGGACCGCAGGCCTGCCTCTGACAATTTCATTTGTAATTTGCATAAGGCTTATTAAAATCACAATGAACGCGGAGCCGCCGTAGCTGCGTCGCGCGGCGATAACCGACCGTGAGGATGATCACGAGAATGACGACGACATATTCGTAATCTTTATCAAAACCGCTTCCCACGCGAAGAATAATCGCATTACGCCAAGTAACGTTAATTGCTGGTGTTAACGCTTTCTCGCAAACCTGTTCTTTCATTTGACTCTGTTTTGCACAATTGAGCTTACCTTTCGGAGAAAAAAAAGATACCGCAGTTGTAATAAATTCTCGGGATCCAAAATACTGTTCTGATTTCTAAAGTTTACAAAAGAACGATGTAAAGCGTATTTTCCAAATAATTTTACAATTTTACGATTAATTTGAGTTGTAATAAATAATGTTTTGAAGTATCATGTTATTTTTCTTGTTCTAAAGCCTATTGAATAAAGTTATTCATGAAAAAAACTGCTAACTAAATTTTTCTATGTGCAGTGTGTCCACAAGCTAAGTATAGGGAAATAGAATTTCATGTTTGCCACTTTACAATCGCAATGTTGGCGGTACTGGCTCGTACTGTCTTTTCGCGTCTGCTTGCGTTTACAGTTTTCATTCCACAATGACGAATGTTTTCTTTTCGCCTCGCGCGTACTGTAAAATTATTTTACACGCAGCTAAGTATCCGCATTGTGCAATAAATGGTTTGTTGCTCGGCAAACAAAAGAATAAAGATGGCAGGGCGGATCTGTACATCGAGGACGCAATACCTTTATTCCATATATGCTTGCATGTTTCCCCAATGGCGGAAATAGCACTTACTTTGGTAAATATTTGATGAACGTTTATTATCGAAGTAAAACATTTTTTACGATTATATGAACTATTATGTTTCTTAAAGTATACGTTTTGATATGTGCAAAAAATCAGTGTAATATGGACATTTCAATGTCCTAACCTATATTATAAAGGCAAACTGTCTCAGTGATTACATTTCATTTTTTTTCTTTGAAAATTTACCCTTTAAAATGTTGGAATAATAGCAATGATAATATTAATGTCCCGTTATACTGTTGACATACTGTTTAAATTATAGGTGGACCAGTTAGCTACAAGTAAAGGCCTTATATTGGCAGGTTATTACTTGGCCAACGAGAATATAAATGATTTAAGGTACGTTAATATTTTTTGAACCTTTATGTTATATTAATACTAATCTATTTTCATGTTTTCCTTACAGTATAGACAGACCGGCACATAGAATAGCAGATAAAATTGCAGAAAACTTTAACAGTGCGTTGCTTGTAGTGGTATGTTTATCAATCACTACACGAAAATGTTACGTATCTATTTCTGTATTTCATAACTTTTACTGTTATTAGATGGATAATCGAGAGGTGACTCTGGGTATGGGATCTAGTCCATTACGAATTTCACAATCTATAGATGGAAAATGGAGGCCAAAAGACATAGCAAAGTAATTCAAATTTAAAAATTTATATTTTTAGAAAATTATTTTGATGTATATATAGAATCTTACTCTAGTGTTAAATATCATTCATTTTATTGCAGTATTATTTATGAAGGAGGTATTGCACACACAGATGCAATGTATTCATTGCTGAAGACAGAGGAGCATAAGAATTTGATCGATTTTGATAACCATCTCGATAATATTGCCCTTGATTGGCAAAATCAGAAACTAAATAAAATTATTGATGAGGCTGCCGAAATACACAAATAGGTGAAAACAATGCAAGCATTCCACACACAAATCATACAAAGATTGTTTTATTTATATGTTGTGTTGCACTCTACTTGTGTATTTCATTCACTATATGCAAAGTAACAAATGTACATATATTGTAGAATTTATAAATGAATATCACCTGTTTTTAAATTTAGGAATTTTACTTCCATACATTTAACCTGTGCAACCTCCATTTTCCACCATTTTTTTCCATTCTATTTTTCTGATAAATTTTTCATATTAATGTTCTTTTTAATAAAGACATTTTTTTAATTATTAATTACAGTTAAGGCTAAAAAATTATTTGGATAATTATAAAAATTATAACAGAAGTGCAGTGAGAAAAATATAATATAATGAGATTTCAATTATATTATAAAAAAAATCTTTAAATTTTATCATTTCAATAAAAACAGAACTATATTTAATAAAATGTGCGCCATAAAAGCAAGCTTATTATATTAATTGCTATAAAAGCTCATTAAACTTCTCTCTGCTTATATGTACAAAAATTAGAATTCTTTATTTTTAAGATAAAAAAGTTTGTTTCTTAATTTTGTATCTTATTATTTTTTTTATTTATTCTTAACGTGTATTTTGTTACTATTTTAATTATATTTTCATTATTATTTTACTATTTATTCATAAAATTGCAAATCACAGATAAAACTGTGATTGTCAAAGCACAATTATTAGTAATTATATTAAAAAGATTAATAAATAAAAAGAGAGGCATTATATGATATTTTATATAATTAGATAAATAAATCAATGAATTCACTCACCAGCCGTTGTATCTTAGCTATGCCATTAGATGTGCCTGTAAAAATAAATAAAGTTACTATAGATTATTTATTTTATGTATTTTGATTATTATGTTATTTAATTATTTACAAAGTTTTTAAATAAATATTCAATATATATTTTAATAAAAATAAAAAAATATCAAGTATATTAATATATATCTACTAAAATATAAAAGTAATTATGTGTGCATATTTTATAATAGTGTGCATATATTGAAATAATGAACGAATAATTAAATTTACAAGCTTAAGGTTTGTTCTACCTGCTGCAGATTCCACCATAGATTTTCCTCCGCATCAACTGCATCAAAAAATATATGAATACTGAAAACACATTTTATTATGTATTTTAGCGAACAAAAAATAATTCATGCATTTCACTTAGGTGAAAATCACATATTTGTGTTACGAATTCGTAGAAATGGATAAAATGTAAATTTAAAACAAAATGGCCGCAACGCATTCATGCGTAATTATATTCATATATTATAATCTTATATATTTGGCAGTCCATTCAATACGTATATTCAGAGTGAGCAAGAACAACGACTGCCTTGGCGTTTTGTACGAATATGTATATAACAATATTTGTTCCACCCGATTTAATTCTGACGGAATAAATATCCAATATACTAACGAAAATTATTCCGTGCACTGATAGTGCTATGATTTCTTTATACATAGAGCTCATTTTCGTGTGTCCGTGACACGAAATCTGTACTTATTGAAAATATACCAATTTGAATTTACAAGCCCGCCACTTTGGACACACATTACGATCGTTGAAGCGGCATCAGTTGCGTGCATTCGCGGAAAACAAGAATTACCTGCTTTTTTACTAGATACTCCTGATGAAAAGTCGTATTCGTAATGCACTTTTAGGATTGTTTGCGGCGAATAAAATTTATCACAAGATATTTGCGCTACGCATTCGAATTGCATATAATCATCATGGCAGCCGAAAAGACATAGAGAAGAAACTCCGAGAAAACGATGAGACGCAACGCCGTGCAGCGTTGAATCAGTAAAGCCTTCATCAGACTATGCAACTTATTATGGTACTAGCAAGCAATCTAGTAAATTACTAGAAATGCTAAATGCTGTATGGTGTATTTTTAGTAGTTTACTAGATTACTTGCAAAAGTGACAAACTGTGTACCAGTGCAATGTAGTATGGCCGAATTCGCTATTATTTTATAGCGTTTTCGATTATACAGGATTTGAACGACCACGGTGGTTAG